ACACAAAATGATAATAAATGATTCTGTATGAGAATAGAGAATTGCTCACTGTAGAAAGCCTCAGGGTTTGACAGCTACACTGCTATTGTTGGAACCTCTTCTTCACCAATTGAGAAGATTAATTAAACAGTAAGGTGGTAAAATTTGCTAACTAATTATTTAGTTTCTTTATTAATATTGGAAGACTTTGAGGCATTTCAGAGGAGTTTAATTAAGCAGAATTTGGTAAATATGCTGGTAGGTTAGAATTAATATAATTAATTTCAAGGTGGTGCCAATCAAGAGAAAAGTGACAGCTTTTGTACAGGTTCTGCATGCAGGGTTCCCCAAAAACTCAAGGGCTGACTAAGAAAGTGCCATGAGAGCATCTGCTCAATGCCTAGCAACAGTTTGGAGGCTGAGAGAATGCTTCACCTCATTCAGAAGGAAGGATACGGAAGGAGGTTCACAGAATCTAAAATTTTCCTCTCCAATAAAACAGTGAATTTGGCTAACTATCTTCAAAGAAACATTTCAGAAAAAAGCAGTAGTAATAAAAGCATGCAAGCAGCGTATGAAGAATTGGGATTTTCAGATGAATCATACTCTTTTCTTCTTATCAATCCAGTCATACATCCTAGCATCTCACTCTCCCTTCTTGTGACCTTGTGCCTCCCACAGCTGGATGGCATGAAATTTTGCATTTTGTGAGACTGCAAAGTGAAGTCACACCCAATCACTAATCGTTCCTTTCTTTTCTGGACACCACTGAAAGCTTCCACATTTGTCCTAGGAAGGACTGGCGCTAGGTACTTATGGTAAAAAGATGGTTTTCTCTGTTAAAAAAACTAAGTTTTCTTTCTTGTGGCACTGTGTTTAAGAAAAAGTCTCCCTGGAAGCATACAACTTTCCACGTGAACTTTTTCTGATAATGCCATCAGGGTCCCCAGCACCCTTAAATTACAATTAAAAATGGGGGAAGAGCGAACACACTCAAGACCTCAGAAGCAACTCTGAAGAACTTTAGACCTGCTGCTCATCACCACAGTCCATGAGGAACAAGAAAGCTAGGAGCTAAAATAAGCTGGAGAATCACCATGATAGGATAGGATAACCACAGTCAAGATGCCTCTTTATATTGTATTATAGTAGGCACCACTAGCTAACCTTAGGTTGAAGGATTAGATTGTAAATGGGTCAGAAGATGCACAGAACAATTAGTGGTATCAGTCTGCTGCTGCCCTCTGACTGCTTCATTAATCTCAGAGCAGGGGCGACACTCAACAGAATCAGAAAGAGCACAAATTTCAAAAGAAAATCTCTCCTTTATACAACAAAATTCTGAAATACTCTAAGATATTAGTAAACTAAACAGTTAACCAAAATTATAGAGAAGACGTGATATTTACATGAATTAAAATAGCATTCATAGTTGCATTTGCCAGATTAGAGTCACGGGGATACTAATTCTCAGCCCTAAACACAGAAGCTGATTGCCAGCTGGGATTACAGAAGAACTCACTCCTTTCTTCATTTCATAGGTTACCAGAGTCCATCTGGTGGGTGCTGATTATCTTCCTTTAAAACACCGCAAGAAAGAATCGAGGAATTAACTGTTACTGGAGAAGCCAAATTGGTAGGATCAGTGGTCTTCTGTTGTGGAATGACAATCCTTCCAAATAGTTCAGTACTCCAAACAGTGGATAAGATAATAATGATGCTTGTGTTTGCTCATTTCCCCCATCCCCCTCAACTAGAACAGTTCAAAAGGTAAAAGTCATGTCTCCATTTTCACAGATTCCTTACTATGTCAGCTACAGACAGTTTGTATAATTTTTTCTGGCAGAAACATTGCAAAATCTATTCTAGGTCAATGACTTCCACTGTCAGGATTGTTCAAAATGTTCTGAAGGATCAAAGGAGAAAAACAAATCACTAAGTATTGGTATTATGCAAGCTTTCTGAAGAGGTATTGATTCTGAAATATTAAGATCTAGCTTTATTGTCATTCTTCTCATGAACATCCTTGCAACTGATCACATATAATAAACTTTCCTACCAAAACTAGCATGCATTCTGCTTAGAATCGGGGTAATATGATTGCATATAAGTAATACGGTGGGGTATAAACAGGAGGTGATGCCAGTGAAATGCACTGTGAGCAGGATACCAGGCGGAAGAAAGATACACGCAGTTCATGCAATAATGACTGAGATAACTATGCTTATTAAAGCAATTCTGTAAAACCCATCAATCTGACACTGTTAAATAGCACACAAGTATGTATGTGATTTTTCCTGTGAAGGACAGATTCAGGAAGTTGCCTTGTTTTGAATTAAGCTGTGTGAATTAGGGTGTGTGAGTGCACATTGCCTGCACACTTGAAGTTCAGGTGGAACATCCGCAGAAGGAAATGTAGCAGGTATTTACGTAGCAGGTTATTGCTCTCTTCTTTTCCAAAGATAGCTCAGCAAGCAACCTTTTGCACTACTCCTGCCTCCCCCAGTGACATGGATCATTAATGGCAGCTACTAACGCAATGGCTGCATTCAAAGGTCAGTAGCACTGCCCTTCACACTTCAGACAGGCAGGAGCTAAAGGCTGGTGGCATGTGAGGGATTCTGCCCAAAAGACTCTGCTATGCTGCTCCCAAGGTTCTGGTTCACAGACAGTGGAGATACACAATTTTTCCCTCTCATCTCTTCCACAGGTGTACCTGGGAATGAGGATTTGACAGAAAACAACCATTCTCTTCACGAAACACACAGTAGGCAGAGCCCTTGTATCATACAGAAGATGAAAAACAGTTACCAAGATATAAATACACAATTTTGGTCATATCTGAATTCACTAGTATTAGTTCTAGCTTACTTAACAAGCAAATGTTTAAACTTATAGTAAAGACAAGACCATCAAACCATCCTGCATTCTCTATCTCCCAAAAGGAAAGCTGACTGGAAATATTTCTAATTTTGAGTAGCTTAAACCCACCAGAGTCCTCCAGTGTCAGCAGAGTACCCCAGAGCATGGCCACTCAGTACTTGAGCAGAACGTGGGAAGGATGCTGATGCCACAGAATGCTCAGCAGTATCATCAGTCTCACTTCCAGTTTATAGTAAGCCAGGAAAAAAGAAGCACGTTCTTCTCAACCAGCTTGTGTAAATCAGAACAATCTTTTTTTTCCTTTCCCCATGAAATTTTAAATGAAACAAAACCAGAGGAAATAGCATCAAATTTGTTTCTTTTGTCTAATTATATATAAATTAGTAAAAGGCTGCTAACCATAAAGAATGTCAGCATGCATACAGATCCTTCTGACTTCTGTTTTATTTATAATAATATTTAATAGTCTAAGTATTATTCTTATTTCAGTTATATTTTTGTTATAATCTATAAAATCTTTTTGCTTTTAAGTGTTTTTTAAAATGTAGTTGTGATACTAATGCATGCAGACATTTTTCCTGTGAAAGCTCAATATCTAAAGCTTACTCACAAGGAAAGATGCAGAAACTCACACATCTCTCCTTGATGAATGAGACCTGTCAGAAGCCAGTGATCCCTGAGCACAGGATACCTAGTGAGCTTTACAGCTTTACAACAGGAGCTCAACAACCATGGAGAAACACTTTTTAGTGCATGGTATTTTATGACAGAGGGGCCTAGATTGCAACCAGTCTGACTGCAATTTATATCCCATGAGAAGATTCTGGGAGCATTCTGTATGAAAATCATTCTACATTTCTTCTTTTCCCCAAATCCATTATTCTTCCGTAAAGGAAAGTATTCTGTTCTGTAACTTATTCAATAACAATTACACAGACCGAGCTGATTAGGTCAGAACTTTTTCTTTTTCTTTTTCTTTTTTCTTTCTTTCTTTTTTTTTTTTTTTTTGAGTTGAAACATCAAACACAAAATACAGTAACATTTGCTCTGTGCACTGAAACATGGGAATACATTATTTTCTGTCATAAGAATTTTATGTTCAGAAGTCCCAACTCTGCAGAAACCTAAGACAGTTGATACTCATTTTTGTATTCAAGTCAGTAGGTAAACTCACAGCATGTGTTCTGTCTTTGCAGAAATAAAACTCATGTAGCTACAACTGTAAATGTTACACAAAAATATACTTGCCTGCAATTACACTACAATTTTGAATATTTTTTTCCCAAATAATTTCCTTCTGGCAAAACCTTGATCAACCACCTCCACAATTCTTTACAGAATTCAGATTTCAGTATTATTCCTTAATGTTGTAAATGAACAGCCATGGAATTTCTGTGGAAATCTGCACAGCAGCATAGAACACCACAGGCTGTGGGAGCTGCATCTATTGCAACCAGTAGTTCAGTCATTATTCAAAAGTGAGGCCTGAACTCAGAAGAATTCGGCTGTATTCATCAGAGAGGATTTGGAGAGAGAACCAAAGGGTGGCTTTAGAAAGGCTGCTGATTTGCAATATGCCAAAGATATTTCTGGAATTATTTTGCACAGTTAAATGTTTGCTGGAATTAACAAGCTATTGAACAGAAAATCTATGTAACAGAATATGTTTTTAAACGGCTCGACAGTTCATTTCTCAGGAAACATTCTTACACATTTACAAACATCTTATGGTCTTGCATTTACATTCATTGTCTTGTTAAGCATTTTACGGACACTTGCAGTGATGCTTTTCAGTTAACCACAGCATAGGAGCACAGAGATAGAAGCTCAGAGATGGTGCAGAGACTGGGGCAACACAATGAATCAGTACAGGGCTGTTACTCTCCCCACACCAGCAGCTCTCAGGATTGCTGCCCCCAGTACCATCCTCTCCCTGCCAAGCTTGCACCCGGGAGCAGTGATGTTCTCACTGCCTTACTTTTCAGCCCTGGCGCAGTGCCACAGCCAGCAGAGAAGGGACAAAGACACAAAAAAAATTCTGCTTCTACCTAAATAGACTGAGTCTCCTGTGAGGGAAGTCAGGTAACCTTAAGCACTCCATCACCTTTTTTTTTTCTTTCCACTTCTACAATACTCACCTGACCTTCCCTTTGGTGTTTCTAAGAACAGTTGCAGCAAAATTTTGTGTAACTCCAACCAGACTGATGCCATCAACTTCCACAATTTGGTCATTCACTTGGATCCTTTCAGGAAAAAACACAAATATATAAATAAGTTAAGGAGTTCTTGGAATATTTTCAACTAAACTTAGAGATTTTAGTTTGATTTTGAACAAAAACTCAATCATAACATGATTGAGGTAAATAATCACACAATTCAAAAGACTTTCTTCCTGATTTGGTACTGTACCATCTGAAATATTGGCAAATAATAGGAAACGTTAGCAAGGAAGCAATGAAAAACTGCATTTGCATATCTCATAAGTCCAGATTCAAAGTTATCATTACAGCTTCAATCATCCAATCATTTTCCTTTTGCATAAATACAGCGATACCAATTCCTGCCTTTGTCATATGACTTAAATTAAATGAGAAACTTGAACTGTTCTTATATCATTCTTTCCGAAGCCAATCTTGGAAAACAGCATAAGACATAGCTTTGGTATTTCACATTAATGGAAAAAACTGTGATATTTAACTAAAACAACCTGCTCATCTGTAGGGAAAAGAGCGTGTGCATCAGATCTAATTGTGACCTACTCTCTTAAAATATTTCATCTATCTTGCTCCAAAAAGATGAATTCCCAGTGTAAGACCAATCACCGGGCACAATACAATAAGGCCTTGGACTCTTTGAACAAGGACTATCTGTTTGAAATACTGGTTTATAGCTGATACTTTGTTTGATGCAGAAAAGTTAGGAGGAATTAAAAAAATGCTGCTTTTATCTGAAATAAGCACTGGTATGGAGTCCTTAGAGCTGGCATAAGAATTATCTGGATTAAAACATTTAGAAAAGGATTGCTATGTTAAACTGTCCTCTAGTGATACGCCCCTCTTGTTTCAAAAATAATTACAATGTAAGAGCAAAACCTTGCATCCAGAAGTAATCAAAATGAGCAATTTTTAATTATTTACACAGACGTTACCATCTAAATGGTACAGTTCATACTGTCAAGAAACAGCTTTGAAAAAAAAATAAGAAAATAACTAAACTAAACTGTTTAACATCTCAGGATATCTTTGATTTCTCTTCAAAGACAAACTTTCACAGCAGAGCCTTTGAAAGAGACTTAAGTGTCCTGATGAACTAATTTCACTGTCAAATCTGAGGCAATGCTTTGCAGCCCTATATGTGTTCTAACAGTACCTCCAGTTCTTGTGACTCTGCTGATGAGGTAAGAATTAAGAGATTTGTGCTTTGGAGGCTTCACATCACAGAATGCCAGTGTGCTCTGAGCAGGATCTCCTTTCTGTACATATGAAACCTTGAAAAAATGATCCTTGGGACAGCCTGCAAACTCCTAGCTTAAAAATCACATATAGCATCTTGATCTCAGAATTCTGATTTAAATCATGTATGTATTTAATAAATACATGTATCATATTTGTACCTATTGTATTTGGATACTATATAAAAATTAATATTTTTCTTGTAATTTAGCATAGTGAGTTGCAGTCAGATGGCTTGCAGGTGCTCCAAGAAAGAAAATTTAAGAAGTTGGTGCTCAGTGAGGAGAAAATTGTCACTCTCTTGCCTGAAAACTAAAAAGCGGAGGAACAGATTCCTTTGTAAAGGTAGTTCAGCTCCCATGCTTTACACACTTCATGACGCAGTGCACTAGTATTGCTCACAGATACAGAGCACAGCATTTCAAGTGATGAAATATCATTTTAGAGAACTGTTGTCTGCAGTTTTGTTGATCAACTGCAATTGACTCTGATTCCATTTGTTCTTTGGGTGTGATTTGTATCTCCTTGTCTATTCAGCTCCTATATTCAATTCCAGCTTTTATTTTTATTACCATTGCCTTCAAAATCTCTTTTTCAATACATAGACAAATTTTAATTATACCTAAACATGCATATATATCACACAACATACATTTAAAATAATTATTATCCAATTGTATAATTACATGTAATTCAAAAAGAAGTTTCCTGTCTGTTGCCATGTATGTTCAGCGCTGCCCAGACTAAAACACTCTCCAGCCCCACGTCCCCTGCAGCTCCAGACTTCTCCTGCATCCGTACCTTGGCCCTAAGCCTCTGCACAGGGTCAGTGCCAGACAAGCCCAGCCGCTCTATGGACCAAAATGTCCTCTGAGCACTGTTCTCTGGGCAGCCTTCCCTTTTTGGTTGGAAATTCCCTCAGCAGCCCCCTCCACCTGCAGCTCTGGGCTTTCTGTCCCTCAAATCTAATTTCCAACATGAAAGAAGAATTAGACCCATGTTGGCAAAGCCTAGATTATTAAGGTTTAACTGCTTTTATCATTAACTAAATTGGTAATTCTTCTGACAATTATTTTCTAATGGCTATGACTTAAAACTCTGCCTTTGTGAAGCAGCAGTTCTATGAAATGGAACCAAACGAAGTCAAATACTTGCATAATTATTGCTCTGTGTGATGAACTGAAAAACATAACCTATGCAGAGGCAAAGTTCTGAGTATTTTTCATGTTAGTAACTGTGTAATGTTTCAAAACACTTGTTCTTGATGTTCTCAAGATACTGTAAGATGACTCATCACCACCATCATTTGAAAGAAAAAGCTATCACACTGGCCAAGAAAGAATGTTATTTTTCTTATTCAGTCTAGTGATTGATTTTATATTTTACACACTATTAATAATCTCTCATTACTTATTAGCGTGCTTTCATTTGGATTTCTATCAAAGCACTGTCCTTGGTTAAATACTTCCCAATGCTTTTCAATATGACAGCTGAATGCTACCTGTTTATATCAACTTGAATCAATCCAGTGGTGCTCAAACACTGAGATATACTTCTGTACAGATTCTGTGTCTTCAGGTACTTTATGCCATGACTTGATGGGTCTTTCAATAAATGATAGGCATTACCCTACAGATATTGTAATGCTTAAAATCAGAACTTCAGAGAGCCTGCTTCAAGACTGCTGTAAAGTTATTCAGAATATCTGATCCAACTGCTGAAAACCAGTTTTATTTTCTGTTCAGAGACTTTGATTTGCTATCAGTGTTAATGATTAACTAAGCTTTTCAAAGGGATGAAGTTAACAGGACCTTTTACAGTTGATGCACTTTATTACAGAACTGGCTGCTCCTGACTGAGAGGATTATGGACCCCTTTCTCAAGTGAATGATCGGTCAGGCTCTCAAAGAGAAAATGAGAGGGCTATTTCTCAGCTGACTGAACATTCATACAGTTGGACACCAACACAACTATTAGAATAGCCAAAGAAACATATCATTTTTTTTCTCAGATGACAAGCTCCTCTCAGATGCCATCTAGGGAAAAGAAAGAAGAGACCTGTAATTGAACATTAACTTCTGGAGCCCACTCAAGACATGTGAATAATGAGAGGACAGAAAATACATATTATCAGAGTCCAGGTGTGAGCTACTCTGATTTTCGACCAGAGAATTTCACACAGAATGCCAGCAGTGAGCTTAATGCCTTTTGGCTGAGCTCAAGCATATTTTTCAGAATAAACATTCACTTAAATTTAAAGTAATGAATGAATTCATGACATCCAGAGATGTCAGCATCTTTACTTTCCTTCCTAATTTTTTAAGCCTGGGATAAATCACTACTTGGCCTTCAAGCTGCCAGAATTTGTAGAGATACTGAAAGCCCAGACTGGAAGAGGCTATACTTGAATGGTTTCAGAGTAGTGTTATTAAACTCTGTAAACTCCTGACAGGTAGAGAGTGCTGATTTAATCTTTACAGAGTTTCCACAGCAGAAACCTGGTCTTCTTAAATATGCAGTATGAGTAGTACACACTGCTTCCAAAGTCTGCACAGGAGGACAAGTTACAGGCATTCATCATTAAGAAGGAATTCAATTCCTTACCATTGTTTCATACACATTTCCATGTCAGATACCATTCTGTCAGACCGTCCCTCCGCTGCCACCTTTCATGTGGCAACAAAACGCAGTGGGAATACTTGTGGGAAGGTTCAACCTTGACTGCCATACCATCAACACCTGCCTCTGCTGTTCTGAGTCAGCATAATATAGGAGGCAGTACTTCTGGAGCAGCCCTCATATGTTCAAAAGGAATTATTTGAATTGCACATACCAAATAAGCAATTTTAGAAGCAGTCGGGTTTTACACGAGCACTGTAAAACCTAACCCATTTATTTAATGGAAAGATTTATGTTGCTGATCCCACTTCTATCGAGCAGTGTAGTTTTGGTCCTCTAAGGGTAAAAACCGCATTTTGAAGATTACACATATTTAGAAATACAAAGTGACACTATGTGCTACTAAGCTTAAAAGGAGGTGTATTTAATAAGTTAATAGCTCAGAAACACTGAACTATTTTTCTAACATATGTTGAGCAGAAGTGTTCCTCATAAGCACTAATTGATTAAAGCTGGTTTGAAGCCAAGAGAGCATGTGAAAGCTCAAAATCATTCAAAATTACCTTCAGTTGTGATGTACAATGTGGAATCTCCAGCTTTACTCATGCTATAGCACATCAGTTTTCAGGTAGCCACAAACCTGGATCCGTGGCAAATCTACTCTTCTTTAACAGTTTAACCCTTGCACCAAAATAGTGTATTTTCATATACCACCTCAGGTATTTGAACCTTACCAATAGCCTCAGAATTTTACTGCTTTCCGTTATCATGATCTACATTTAGCTAACAGTTCCTTCCTGTGCAAATCATAATTCATGATAATTAACACTGGGAAAGTTTCCAAATACTGAGTCTACTTTACCTGCCATCTCTTTCTGCTGCCCCACCTTCTGTTACTGTTTTGACAAATATTCCCAGTTTTTCAAGGCCTGCATCTGCTCCAACTCCCATTCCAATAATGCTAATGCCAAGTCCATCTTCATCTATGAAAAAGAAAAGTGAAAGCAGAAACTCATTAAATTTGATTTTATATAGTTATTTGGTAGGTAAACATCTATGCTTTGTTTTCTCTTGATTTCCCATGTAAACAATGCCAATTCCTTTAGATTCTTTTAAAATTTTTTTTATTTGACTGCATTAGTTTTGCACAAAAACATTACCTCTGCCCTCCTGAGGAACTCAGAACAATAATCAAAGATTTTTATTTTTCCAGGGAAGAATGAAAATATCACATAAACCACTGCATAAAATCATGTGTTAGGGGAGTGGACACAAAACAATTATTGTAGGAAACTAAAGAGCTACATGTTTTTCAACTGTTCTTTTAATTTCTCATTGAATAGTTACTGAAATCCAAAAAGCCAAGGTGATTATTAGGGATTCAAGGAAACTCCAGACTGGATATGTAAAGCCTGTGGATTATCTCAGACTTGTAGATCGATTTCATATGAACTGGAAGGGGCGCACAGACTGCATACCTTTTTCTAGTTCAACTGGGAAAAGCTCCAGCTTTTCCACACGCTTCTCAAGTTCATATTCAGCTGATGCAGCCACTGGGTCAACTTCATCATTTCTCCTGTCATAGTCTTCATTGGAGTATGTATTGAAAACCTGTGGAAACAGATCAAAAACCATTTAACTGCCTACCTCAGAAAGAGTGCCAACTGAGCAAAGTAGCTACTGCTTTTCTTCTGTGATGTTGCAGAGTCTGGAAAGGATTGTAAAGGCAAATTTCTCCTGTTCATGAAAATTTCAGGCATTTAAATTTGTGCTTTTTTTTTACACAGAGTGCAAGTAAAGTTGCAAAGACCAATTCTGAGTATAAATGATTTTTTTGTATTGTTCATAATTATAAATGCAGAAGGTAATCTTGAATAAGTTGGTCTTTCCATCTCAACATTTAAAACACATAATTCAGTTTATTAAGAACGCATCATCACTAATGATTCACAGACACGAAAAAGCAAAATATACTGAAATATGTATACAATCTCTGTTTCAGTTATTATTTCTAAAAAAATTCCAGTTTGCATTCATCTAACCAAAGCTAGACCTGAAGACTCCATCTACTGTTACACCACCTACGTGTACCACTGCACGCCATACTCCATAATATGCAGTAAATTTAGGAGAACAAAGTACACCGTCCTGGGTATTTTTAAAACAAGCTATGTTCACAGTTCTAGTTCAGCTCTGAGGCAGTAATTTAACACTGCCCTGTTTTCAGCTGGGACAGAGTTGATTTTCTTCATAGAGTTTATCTATCTTTTGGCTTCATGAGAAAAACAGTGTTGATAACACATCGATGTTTTAGTTGCTGCAGAGCCAAGGACATTTCAGTTTTTCAGCATCTCGTACAGCTGACATAAAGTGGCCAAAGGGATATTAAACTAGCAAAAGGTTATGTTCATACTTCAGGTGTCAGAGTTTGCAGCCTCATTCATGTAACTGCCCAGTGATGGCAGTCATGAGACTTGAAACCTCACTTTGAGCGTCAATAATTGCATTGAACTTTAGTCTGTATCAAGTTATGCAGGAAAAAAAAAAAAAAAAGGAAAGGAAAGGAAAATAATGTTCCCTATCTCCTCTTCCTTCTTTACAGAAGGTACTGTAACACCACACCTTGATGGCTGCTCTGAGGCCTTTCTGACCTCACTGGTGCCGAGAGGCGCCCGCTGCCCCCAGCCAGGCCAGGCTTCAGCTGCATCCCTGCTGCCCTGCTGCTGCTTCCCTGAGGCAGCACGGGCCTTTGATACAAACTTTCTACCTATTTCAAGAACAATGCTGTTTAATCTGTTACTATCAAATGCAGTTAAGTGTGTATGGATAGCTAGTAATAATCATCTTAGATTGTGGTCCAGAAAAATAGAGGTAAAACATCATGGTTAACAACATGAAAACAACTTTGAAGATTTCTTTTGAGCATCTTCCACTAATAATGACTGCAAAAATGAATTTAGAAAACCAACTGCCAGTAGATTACATCCATCATTGATTATAGCCTCTCCTACCCTGCTGCCAGTGACCACTGCTACCCAGTGACCAACTGGCTCCATTCCTGAAACCAGATGCACTTCACTCACACTTGAAAGCAAATTAAAACCAAATAATCCTGCTTTCCATCTAAGTCTGATATTTTGTGACAAACCAGAGGAAAAGAAGAAACAGTAATGATTCACATTCACTGTGTAGTCTGGAAAATGCCTCTTCCAGTAATAAGCCTTTCCACCTCACATTTAAGCCTACAAGCTTGAGGGTATTTTGAATTCTAAATGATGTCTTGGCAAAGCTATGCTTGCAATGTATGCCCAGGGGACACTGTCTCAGAGAGGGTAAATCTGTCCCAGGTTTGCTTGGCAGAACCCTCCATCGCCTAAAAACTAAAAGAGTTCTAAGAAAACCTTACAAATAGTGCAGGGGAATGGAGGAAAAGACCACCATGTAAGTGCTGCATACAACTGTTGTTCACAAGAAAATCTTCATTGAAAAGCTGTTTTAATGATACTTCTGCACATTAATTTATCTTAAATAATAAACTACTAATATTACAATACAAAATACTATTCAAGTCTGCTGTAAGTATAGTAACTGTACTATGCTTCTCACAAAGCTGCTGCAAAAAACTTCCCAGTTTTACATAAAGTTGTTGAAATAGGAGAGATGTTTGTACTGTATGGAAATTTTAATTCCTCTACTTTAGATCAATGGGAAACAATAAAAAATTACCTATTCCAAGAATACTGAATAATATAATAACATATAAATAAACATTTTACAAGAACTCATAAACATATCTTGCATTGATTTCTAGCAATATTGATGCAAGAAAAATTGTTTTAACTAAATGATAATCCTCAGAGGCCTTCATAAATATATCTAAAAGATAAAGAAAATAGGTCACACACTAAACACTGTGCAATGCTGCTGTACATTCTGCTCTACTTTAGCATACATGTTTCAGATTGGAGAAAATACTCTTGCAGAAACAAGCATTGGGAAATGTAACCATTTGGTTTAAAATAACCTGCAAAACCTATGTGCAATTTCTGATCAAGTGATGGGCAACTAACCAGAAACTGAACATGTACCAATAACCTTGAGCTCCTCCCCTAGATGTCTAGGGAAGGACACAGTAAATGAACCTGCACACAGTAAGCGAAATTGCACATTGGAAATGCCCTGAATGCTGCAGTAAGGCATCCTGCTGTCAGGCATTAGAACTGCCAGTTAAAATGGAAAAACAAAAGAGAGAGCGTAAATTTAGCAGCCTGAGAGAGAAGTTCTCAAAAGTCTTTTGTTACTTTACGCTTTTCAAAGACCTCTTTTCCACAAGGTAAAGCCTTCGTTATATTATCTCTCTCTGCCTGCTGCTTCCTCACTTAGAGGACGAATCATGAACAAGCTCTAGCTACCATGGATTGGCCATGTAGCGTCTAGGTCTGAAATGCTGTACAGTCACAAAAACAAGTACAGATTAAAAACTGCAACTGGGAGAGTATAGCTTGGGTTTCCTGATTTATCAGCACGATGAGGAACTCTGTGGAACAAAGATGTATTATCAAGGAAAATGGAGATGCAGTCACCAGCTGATGGAGGATGGCAAGAAGAGCAGGAAAGCACTGCTTGCAGGACACAAGGATTATGGGGAAAAATCATATCAGAAAACTAGTATGTTTACTTCTGGATCTTTTTTCATCATGTTAACTGGCCCCATTTGTTGGCGGTTTGGATCTTGCTTACTTTGGCAGAATACTTATAAATAAGAAAAGAATTAATGATAGTGGCAGTGGTGAATACAGTTATCACTGTCTTCAAACACATCACAGCACTCTCACTCTCTCACTTTATTGGAGACTATAGGATTACTGATAGCATCAGGGTAAGACAGTCAGTGTATCTATCCTACCTGGCATTAACTCATCGTATCTTTTAGGTCATACGACCTTGCACGCTGCCCCAAATGTGTGTTTCTGGAGGACGAGGGAGGAGGCAGTTGTCATTTACCTCATTTTGTGTGATCACATTTAATGGATGACTGATTCTTTCAAACAAATTTCCAGGTGTTGAAATTAAGAAAAGGAAATTTGTGGTTGGAAATCCTTCTTTCTGAACCAATCTATCCACCACATTAATGAACTGCTTCTTCTATGCAGACATGAGAACTGTCACTCTAGATTTTAGCTTGCTAAAAATAAAAATGTTAAATATTTTCACCCACAAAGTATACTTAGCTTAAGTAGGCCTATTTTACCAAGTCTGTCACCACTGTATTTCCTAGAGTGCGCACAGGCCTGCAGATTTGCAGGAAATCCTTTGATTTAATAGAGTTGGTTTTGCACTCACACTGCTTAAGTAGCCACACAGGGAAGTCTACTAAGCTGTCAGTTAAAGAAAGCTTACCTAAGGAGTATTGAATACATCATCTTAATCTACACTTGTAACTCTTAAGAGTATTTAGAAACAGCAAGTTTCCCAGGAACTCACCTTTGACATTTACAAGGATTTACACAAACACTCAAAAGCACAAGAATCAAAACCCACCAACAGTGGTGAAAACTGAAGGGACACTAAATTTACATGTGCTGTGAACACAAACAGACCCTGAAGAATTGGCTGGCTCTCTCAAACACTGTAGTTAACAGAACGTACTTCTACCTTCACTAATGTGACACAGAAAGGGTCATCAGCAATTCTTTTAGCACAAAAATAACCACAGAGCTCCATCAGTCTTCTTTTGGCCATGCAACGTTATTTTGCAAACATTCAACACAGAAAGGTGAATAATTACAAAAATGCAGTATAGTTTGTCTTTTATAACAAGTCCCCAGGGTGTGCTGTGTATTTGGCAGGAGGGCATATAAGAGCATAAATCCCACAGAGATAATGACAGAGGACTTTCATGTGGAGGGAATGAAACTTGGTGCAGTGTCCATATTAAGGGAGCCCCAATTCTAATCCTTTCTGTACAGATTTTCTCCTGCAAGTAAATGAATGTGTTTGCCTTGCACTGAAACTGGGAAAACTGAAAGGTATAAACACTAAAGGAAACTAATCAGCCTGACTCTGTGGATGCATCCTCTGCAGACCTTCACTATAACAACAGTAATAACAATTTCCTTTTGCTGGCCTCATTAACTCTGAGAAAAGATAAAAATCCAAGGCTTGTCTTTAATGTAGACATGGATGGAAATCATAAAATATTTTGTGTAAGAGCAATATTATTGTTAATTACGGTTCCAGCTAGAATATCAGACTGTATAATTTCAGAGACTGAACAGGAGATCTATTTTAACTGTTAGGAAGAAATGAGGAAATATTACCTACACCATTTGGCCATAGGACATTCAGAAAAGCGGTACAAGCTGTGGATGACACCCTCAATACTCCTTTCTCAGGTCTATACATCTCCAAAAGCAAGCAATTGCACCTCCCTGCCATCTGTGAGAACAGGTATGTTTCCAGGGTTGTTACAAACCATTTCATAGTTGTTTTACTACCAGCTGCTATTTTGTTTTGAATATACTAAACTAGACCATTTGTTAACTACTGCCCAGAAGTCTCTCTACCTCATAGCTCCAAAGGGGAGAGGAAGCTCTAACAAATTCCCAAAT